GGGGCGGCTGCCATTCACATGTCCCAGGGGAACAGGACTGCCACCCAAAGCTCCAGAGGTGGACGTGCTATCCCCCAAATGCAGAAAGACAGGCCTGCTGGTTTGAGGAAAAGAGACACTATTAATTTTGAAAATGTTGAGTCTGAAGTGAAAAATTTATACTTAAGCAGTCATGCCCCAAAGGGGATTGCACAAAGGGCAGGAGTTTGAGACAGAGGCTGGGAATATAAAGTTCTAAAATTTAAAATCAGCAAGTTGAAACAGTCTATGAATAAGCATTGAAAACGACTCTATTTACATTGTACTTACCTGATCGAGGTTTGAGAGACTGTTTGGATCTTGACTGAGAGCTTGGTATTGACCCCTGAGCCTGTCACCTGCAGCAATTTTCCTGAACTTCTGGAGGTCCACTACATATAAGGCACTGAAACAACAACAAAATATTTTTTTCAAAATATAAACTAGTTATGCACTTCCATTTCCTTCCCTACTGACTGTAACAGTGATGGTGTTAGTTCAACTACAGGTATTCTTAGGCTTCTCTCATAATCATTATTGCTTCTACAAGTTTATTTCTAATGTCTATTATATCCAAAGGACTTGATGTTTATTATAACATTGTGAAGACTTACATCTCTTAGGGATAGCTAATTTTTTAAATAAAACCTTGCGAAACAGTACGTTTTGAAAGAAGTGTCTCTATTTTGTTATTTGAGGAACCAGGTTTAAATCTTGCACAGTACCTACAAGCATATATTTGAGCCATACTACCTGGGTTTTAACAACTGGCTCAGCTATGCATGAGCACCGTAAGTCTGAGCAAGTTAAATTATAATTGCCTCACTTTCCTCATCTATAAAAGAGGAATAATAATAGATGATCACAAGAATGTTGAGAAGATCTATGATGTGATAATATACAAAAACTTAGGCTAGTGCCAGGCATGTAATAAGCATACTGGTTGCTGTTATTTCAAATCAAATGGAATCTTGTGATTCAAGAAATCTATTAAAAGTTAAGAGCAGGGCTTTTCTTACCTGATGTGATATTTCCTTCTTAAAAGATGTGATGCCCAGTATCCTGTTTTCCAAAAACGATATCCATCCATTTCAGTGCGGCTATCACAGAATGGAGTATATCCATAAGGAGCTCCACCCAGATCTAAATCTCGAAGCTCTTTTAAGTCATGTCTCACAATCTAAATAATTAGGACAGTTTCTCTGATGAGTTTTGTACAATAACAGGAGTACAAGTTTCTCTGATGTGTATTATATAATAATAGGAATACAAGTCCTTTTTATCTGAATCCAAAATTATCCCTAGGCTCTTGCAGCGCTACAGAGAACTGTATTTTCTTCGTAGTTTCTTTCCCAATGTAATGTGACTTGACCAATTCATGTTTTTTACTTCTTGGCCTCACCAAAACCTAAAACCCAGATATTCAGATTATATAACAGTGGTCTTATTTATTAGCTAATGATTTTTAAGCAAACTATTTTAAACAAAATATATTTTGGGGCTTAAAAAAATTTTATTGGGGGCTCTTACAGCTCTTATCACAATCCGTACATATATACATTGTGTCAAGCACATCTGTACATACGTTGCCATCATCCTTTTAAAAACATTTTCTTTCTATTTGAGCCCTTGGTATCAGCTCATTTTCCCCCCTCCCTCCCTACCCACCCCATGAACCCTTGAAAATTTATCATTCTTTTTTTTCATGTTTTACATCGACCACTGTCTCCCTTCACTCACTTTTCTGTGTTGGTCCCCCCAGAGAGGGGGCCCTATGTCAATCGTTGTGGTCGGTTCTCCCTTACTCTCCCACCCACCTCCCTTACCCTCCCAGTTTCACGACTGCCCTTATCTGTCCTGGATTCCCTGTGTTACGAGCTCTTATCTGTACCCATGTACATGCTCTGTTCTAGTGAGATTTGTATGGTAGAACTGGGGTCATGATAGTTTGGCAGGGGTGGGGGAGCATTAAAGAACTAGAGGAAAGTTATGTTTCCTCGGTGCTAACTGCACCTGAACTGGCTCATCTCTTCCTTGTGACCCTTCTGTAAGGGGATGTCCAATTGTCTACAGATGGGCTTTGGGTCTCTACTCTGCCCTCCTCCTCATTCACATCTATATGATTTTTTGTTTTGTGTCTTTGATGCCTGATTCCTGATCCTATCAACACCTCTTTATCACACAGGCTGGTGTGCTTCTTCCACGTGGGCTTTGTTGCTTCTAAGCTAGATGGCCGCTTGCTTATCTTCAAGATTTTTAGACCCCAGATGCTATATCTTTTGATAGCCGGGCACCATTAGCTTTCTTCACATTTGCTTATGCATTTTGTCTTCAGTGATCGAGTCAGGGAAGGTTAGTAACACAGAGTGCTGGGTTAGTAGAACACGGTGTTCTTGCAATAAGGGAGTTTGGGGATGGTTTTAAACATTATTCAATGTGGCGTAGTGGTTATGTGTTGGGCTGCTAACTGCAAAGTCAGCAGTTCGAAACTTCCGGCAGTGTCTCGGGAGAAAGATGGGAGCATCCCATAAAGAGTTACAGTTCTGGAAACTGAGGGGCAACTCTACACTGTTCTAGAGGGCCACTATGAATCAACATCTACTTGATGGCAGTGAGTTTTCATAAACATTATTCAAGTACATCATACTTATATCTCATTATAAATCACCAATTAAAAATATGTATTTTTATGTTAAAAACGTTGTAGCTGTTGGGTCAATTTAAACCCATAGTGCCCTTATCAACTCATATTTACTGCCACTGAGTTGATTCTGACTCACAATGACCCTACAGTACCACTGCACTGTGTGCTTCTAAGCCTGTAAACCTTTATGGAAGTAGACAGCCTCAGTGTTCTTCCACAGAGCTGCTGGTGGATTCAAACTGCTGAACTTGAGGTTAGCAGCCCAATGCATAACCCAGTATACCACCAGGGCTCCTATATAGTGACCTTTAGGGCAGAGTAAAATTGCCCCATAGTTTTCAAGGTTGAAATCTTTGTGCAAGCAAGCATACTGTCACATATCCTACCAAGAAATGGTTAGTAGGTTTAAATAGCTGCCTTTTGGGCTATCAGACTAATGCTTTTAATCACTATACCTAAATCTCCATGACTGTATATAGGCAAATGTTAGAGCACCAGAGAAAACATTGACGATTTGAAATGGCTTGGAAAAAAATGTTAAGCTTTGGTTTTCAAAAGACTCTGCAGCAAAAAACCCCAAATCCACTGTCAACAAGTTGATTCGAACTCATAGCAACCCTATATAGGCTTTCTGAGGATGCAAATCTTTGCAAGAGAAAATAGTCTCATCTTTGGGAAAACAGTATAAAAGTAACATGAATTTAGAATTTAAGCAAATTATAACATAATCATTGAAGAGGTCAGTTTTCTAAAATACCAGCAAGTATTGAGACAACTTTTATATTTATATACGTATTATTGACCTTTAAAATTCCGTGTGTTGGACCTGAACAGAAGTTTCACAGGGTCAGAAATCCAAGTGGCCAATAAACATGAGAAAATGTTCCCGATCATTAGCTATAAGAGAAATGCAAATTAAAACAACAATGAGATATCACCTAACACCCTCAAAGATAGCTCACTTCAAAAAATCAGAAAGCAACAAGTGTTGGAGGAGCTGTGGTGAGATAGGAACTCTCATCCACTGCTGGTGGACCTGTAGGTATGTACAGCCTCTATGGAAATTGATTTGGCAATTTCTAAAACAAATGGAAATCGAGCTACCATATGACCCAGCAATCCCCCTACTGGGCATATACCCAGAAGAGACAAGAAACAAACCACGGCCAAACATCTGTGCTCCAGTGTTCACAATTGCAAGGAGTTGGAAACAACCCAAATTTCCATCAGCAGACGAATGGATTAAAAAACTGGTACATACATACAACGCAGTGATGAATGCATGAAGCACATCGCCGGATGGAAAGAACTGGAGAAATCATGCTAAGCGAAGTAAGTCAGGCACAAAAGGGCAAGTACAACATGAGCCCACTGAGGTCAGCTTTAAAAAAATGTGGAAAGGGCATAGGGCAAAAGCTACTGTACGCAGACATTCCTGGGGGGAGGTCCAGGTAGTATGGCAGGGGCCAGACCAAAC